TTTCCAACCTAGGCGATTCTATGATTCTATGAAAATAGGAAGGGAGCTCGGGCAGCTCTGCCTGCTAACAGGTTGACGCCTGTGTTTTGTTCCCCCTCTGCCTCCCCCCTCCCCGGCTGCAGCTCAGCCTGCTGGTGAGCGATGCTCCAGACCTGTCGGCTGGGGTCACCTGCCTCTTCGGAAACCTGACGGAGGTGGAAGGGCAGGTTTCGGGCAGCCGGGTTGTGTGTGTTTCACCAGCGGCAAAAGATGTTCCTGCCATACCTGTGGATCAGGGTAAGTAACTGACTTCTGGGCAGCAATACGACATCTGTGCCACCCGAAAGTGCGGTGGAGGTTTGGAGGTACCTGCTGGCTGGAGCAGACCCTTTGGGGCTGCCGCTGGAGAAATTCATGCTCCTGTCAAAGACCATTAAAGCCAGGGAGCTAAATATGCTTCATCCTTATGAAATGCATCCCACGCAGGGAAAGATAGGCTGGGAGCAGGCAGCACCATGTGCCTGCCCTGTCCTTACACCCTTCCGCGCTGCCAGACAGCTTCCAGGACAGAACCTGGGGCTGCAGGAGCTGTCTGTCCCTCCTGGGGTGGCCCACGAGCCGGGCAGGGGCTCGCAGCCGTGCCACGCCGGCGGATCTGGAGAGCAGGAGCCCTCCCCTCAGCCTGGCTCAGCACCCATGAGTAGGTGGATGCAGTTTCTATTTTTCGGTCCCGATCTTTGGGTTGTTTCTTCATTAATGTCACATTTTCTCTTCCCATAAGCAAAATGCTACTTGCTTAAAACTCATTTTCTCCTTGGCATCCTTCCAGGTGTCAGCTGTGCTTCCCTGCTGATATCTTTGTATTTCTAAGGCATTATATGGAGCCTGAGACTTGGTGAACGCTGGGGGCCGAGAGCTGCCTTGGTAGCAGGGCTAGCGTAGACTTATCCACCGCAGCTTGGGAAGAGCAATCTGCTCTTAATTACTCCAGTGCTGAGGCTCCTAAAGAGCCTCACTAATGCCCTTGTTTCCAGCATTGTCTCCTATTCTAGTCTTGGGCTGCTGCTCAGAGTAGACTGAACTAGTGGTTTTATACTGGAGACGGATCCTTAGGGAATGGGATGAGATCCCACACTCATTTCAGCTGTGGTCCAAGGCAGAGTTTAGACCCTGCGTCTCCAATGCATTGTGCCACCAAGCCTGGTTCGGTTTGGAGGCATTGCTGGAGACAGCCAGCCCGGCACCCTAGGGTGCTTGAGGGCAGGGTCCGGCCAGGGGATGGCTCAGCCCCCAGCTCAGGGAACCGCTGCAGCCA